TCTTCAACTAATGTTACAAGCTTTGTGCTATGCCTTAGAGTTGAATTTAAAGGTGAGCTGTTGCCATAATTTGCAATTGTGCATTAGGTTTGCAGTCATCCCCCAGCACCTGAAAACACCCTCTGCTACTCCTGGGTCCCCTGTCATACTCTTCATTCATGGGTGGCCTCTGATGATGAAACCACTACATATTACACAGTCCTTGACACCCAGCTCCTATCCTGGCATTGTACAGATGCCAGAAAGAAGCCAGCATGTACCATGCAAGGTGAATGCGCCGCATACAGTACACAAACTGCTAGCGTCCAGAAGCAACTTTGCTTTGTCAGAAGATACATGCAAAAAAAAAAAAACAAACCTGACTTTCTAGCAGTTCTTTTTATATTTTAGGTTCAGTTTTCCACACCAACCAATTAGATCTGCCCTGGCTGGTAACTGCTGATTGGTTGCTCCGTGTCTTAGTTAATACGCTTAGAGCGTTTCCGCTGAGAGAACGCATTGTGACAGAGAGGTGACGGAGTTGGCGCCGGATTACGGGACCTGTAAAACAGCTCGTTATAATGTAATAATGTAATAATTATGAGGTGTGTCGGGCGGCTTCCTCCCTGGCATTCCTCTCACACCTCCAGGACGTGTGTCTGCATTGGTGGAATTCCTCATTATCTAATATCGAGCCGTGATATCATCTCTGCATTCAATCCTTTCAATCCTCATTATGTTCATTTCAGACACAATCGTCGGCCCCTGATTCATTCATGCAGGTACTGAGGTTCACGGATAATGATGGACACACACCATGTTCTTCCCAGTCCTAGGCAGTGGCCCGGCCAGTGAGGTGTGCCCATCTGCTGACAAGGGCCCTAGGTTGCAGGTTGTGCCCCTTAGATTTGGGATTGGCTGGTCCTGGCTGCCCCTTCAGTAGGAAGAATAAATACATCAGTGGGGATATGATCTCCATGTATAATACATAAGGGGGGATATGATCTCCATGTATAATACATAAGGGGGATATGATCTCCATGTATAATACATAAGGGGGGATATGATCAACATGTATAATACATAAGGGGGATATGATCTCCATGTATAATACATAAGGGGGGATATGATCTCCATGTATAATACATAAGGGGGGATATGATCTCCATGTATAATACATAAGGGGGATATGATCTCCATGTATAATACATAAGGGGGGATATGATCACCATGTATAATACATAAGGGGGATATGATCTCCATGTATAATACATAAGGGGGGATATGATCTCCATGTATAATACATAAGGGGGGATACGATCTCCATGTATAATACATAAGGGGGATATGATCTCCATGTATAATACATAAGGGGGGATATGATCTCCATGTATAATACATAAGGGGGGATATGATCTCCATGTATAATACATAAGGGGGGATATGATCACCATGTATAATACATAAGGGGGGATATGATCACCATGTATAATACATAAGGGGGGATATGATCTCTATGTATAATACATAAGGGGGATATGATCTCCATGTATAATACATAAGGGGGGATATGATCTCCTATGTATAATACATAAGGGGGATATGATCTCCATGTATAATACATAAGGGGGATATGATCACCATGTATAATACATAAGGGGGGATATGATCTCCATGTATAATACATAAGGGGGATATGATCTCCATGTATAATACATAAGGGGGATATGATCTCCATGTACAATACATAAGGGGGGATATGATCTCCATGTATAATACATAAGGGGGGATATGATCTCCATGTATAATACATAAGGGGGGATATGATCTCCATGTATAATACATAAGGGGGGATATGATCTCCATGTATAATACATAAGGGGGGATATGATCTCCATGTATAATACATAAGGGGGGATATGATCTCCATGTATAATACATAAGGGGGATATGATCTCCATGTATAATACATAAGGGGGGATATGATCTCCATGTATAATACATAAGGGGGATATGATCTCCATGTATAATACATAAGGGGGATATGATCTCCATGTATAATACATAAGGGGGATATGATCTCCATGTATAATACATAAGGGGGGATATGATCTCCATGTATAATACATAAGGGGGGGGATATGATCTCCATGTATAATACATAAGGGGGGATATGATCTCCATGTATAATACATAAGGGGGGATATGATCTCCATGTATAATACATAAGGGGGGGATATGATCTCCATGTATAATACATAAGGGGGATATGATCTCCATGTATAATACATAAGGGGGGATATGATCTCCATGTATAATACATAAGGGGGGATATGATCTCCATGTATTAATACATAAGGGGGATATGATCTCCCTCTGTAATGTACATAAGGGGGGGGATATGATCTATTGGCGCTTTATAAAGGGGGGATATGATCTCCATGTATAATACATAAGGGGGGATATGATCTCCATGTATAATACATAAGGGGGGATATGATCTCCATGTATAATACATAAGGGGGGATATGATCTCCATGTATAATACATAAGGGGGGATATGATCTCCATGTATTGGTATTGTTCTGTCACATGTTCTGTTCCCCTCTGTAATGTACAGCGCTGAGCGAACTATTGGCGCTTTATAAATACTGTATAATAATAATAATAATGTATAATACATAAGGGGGATATGATCTCCATGTATAATACATAAGGGGGGATATGATCACCATGTATAATACATAAGGGGGGGATATGATCTCCATGTATACTACATAAGGGGGATATGATCTCCATGTATAATACATAAGGGGGGATATGATCTCCATGTATAATACATAAGGGGGGATATGATCTCCATGTATAATACATAAGGGGGGATATGATCTCCATGTATAATACATAAGGGGGGATATGATCTCCATGTATAATACATAAAAGAAATTTAATCTCCAAACACGGAAAGGTTTCTTCACAGTAAGAGCTGTGAGAATGTAGAATAGACTCCCTCAAGAGTTGCTTCTGGCCAGCTCAGTGGATCGCTTCAAAAAAGTCCTGGATTCTTCATTAGATACACAGAATATAACTGGATAGTAACATTTATAGGTAAAGTTGATCCAGGGAATATCCGATTGCCTCTCTGGGGATCAGGATTGAATTTTTTTCCCTGCAGGATCATGCTTTGCTTGTTTTTTTTTGCCTTCCTCTGGATCAACTGTGGGTATAGGATTATAACTTTTTTGTTTTTTTTTTTATGGTTGAACTGGATGGACTTTTGTCTTTTTTCAGCCAGACTAACTATGTACGGTAACTATCTGCTGGCGCACCTCAAACACCAGTCTGCAAAATCCCAATGACATTCATTGAGCAGAACACATAGCAGCTCAGTGTCTGCATTTGACCTGCTTTGCGTTGTGTTTCTATGGAAGCAGCATGTCCTGTGCTTGAACCATCATATGTTCTGCTCAATAAGGGTCAATGGGATTTTGCTGACCTGTTTGCACCTGAATGGAAAATGCAGCATTTAACTAGAATGCCCCCTAATCCAGCCACTCTCTTCCTCATTGGGGGCAGACCACTGTGTTTCAGGGAATGCACGCTCTCTTGAGGCACACTAAACACAATACCATGTTCACACATAGCTTCCAATGTGCTTCATTGAAGGCAATGAGCCAAGCAGCCAATGAGCCAAGCAGCAAGCACTGAAAGCTTGGACTCTCGAAAGTGAACCTGTTAGTAAATGCATGAAAAAATCCCTGCCATGTCACACTATCCAGCAACAGTATCATTTCTCAATAAAGCTCCTCCTTTTATCATTAAAAAAAATATCATGGAGCTCCAGTTCAGTGACTTTGCCTAGGCTGAGATGATGTCATCAGTCTGCTGCAGGCAGGAGGAAGCATTTCCTCAGTCTCCCCCCCCCCCCCAGTGATCAGACTGTACATTGTATCTTTGTACCAAGTCACAAAGCGTGAGGCTGCAGCAGGGGCTGGCATCTCTGAATCTTAGAACCTCAGTCCAGGAAGTACGTGGTAACCCTGAATGATGCCGGAAGAAAGATGGCCCCGTCGATCCGAGAGAGAAAAGCAGATAAAAGCATTGCCGGGGGGGGGGGGGGACTACTGTGATCTCTGTGAGTGTTTAAAAGATACCTGGACGGGTTGCATAGGTACAAAACACAGCACACTACACTTGCACCCGGTTCACATCTATGCGGTCGTGCGGGCCATTTTGCGTGGGCATGTGAGCCCATTCATTTGAAATGCAGGGAAAGAAGTTCCTGCACTTCTTCTGAAAACGCAGCCACATGGGAACCTCGGATCCCAGTACGGTTGCGTTTTGCAGTGCTGGCGGCGTGCCATTAGAACTAATGACCGCATTCCTCTGTGCGGGTGGTGGTGCGGCTGCACGGATTTTGGTGTGGATCCGCAGCGGCACCACCCGCACAGATGTGAACCAAGCCTTAACATAGAGACATACACAGTGGTACCTCAGTTAACGAACGCCTCGGTTAACGTCATTTTTGGTTTACGAATGAAAATCCATTGAAAATAATGCCTTGGTTTACAAATTTTTTTCGCAATACGAAGAAGTTTGCGCAGGATGCATTGCGTCTGGGAGGTTTATAGCGCCGGCCCCTGCATGCCGGAGTCTATGGGTAGCACGTGGCGTTGGAGGTGTTGGTGCAGTTTTTGCAGCCATTCTGGAAATGTTTTAACATGTCCCTGTACAGTATTTATGCCTTTAAAGTGCTCTTTATAAAGAGTTTTAAACAGATAAAAGAGTTTTTTTTTTAAACTTTTCTCTGACCTCCGGAACGGATTAATTGGTTTTCAATGCATTCTATGGGAAACCGTGTTTCGGTTTACGAAGTTTTCGCAATATGAAACGTCCCGGAGAACGCATTAAATTCGTAAACCGAGGTATCACTGTATATTCGATGTTGGGTCTGCTCTAACGATGGATGGATCTGACCAGAGCTCTATGTTAAGAGTGCCCACCAGGGGCGGACTGACAACTCATGGGGCCCCCCTGGGCAATAGGGGATCATGGGGCCCCTGTGTCCTTGCCCAAACTCAAAAAAGCCTATGAAAAAGGTACCAGGGGCATCTCATGGGGCCCCCTACTGACCCCAGGCCCTCGGGCAGTGCCCGAGTTTCCAAATGGTCAGTCCGCCCCTGGTGCCCAGTATAGAAGGACGATCGGTTGTTCCAGAATCACTCTGGGCACCTTCTATATCCTCAGCTCAGCCAAGTAATACAATGTATCTCTCCGCAGCTCCAGGATTGGTTGATTCAGGGACTTGCTAACAAAGTAGCAGCATGGTGATCCTTCAACTGATACATAACATTTCACCTCATTCTTCTGATACAAGACCCGTCTACAGGCGGAATTTCCTGGCTCAGTAAAATGGCGCTGCACCTGTCTCCCCAGCCACGTACACAGTTATGTAAATCATCCGCTGAGGCGATCAGATGGCAGATTTCCAGCATGTAAGGTGAGAATTTCAGGAAGAAATCCCATACATGACAAGTGCCTGCGGCTGCTGGAGCCTCGCGGAGTGTGGCAGGTACACTTCGCTCCTCGGGGACCTGTCACCTGAAATCAGACCTATGGAGGGTCATGGGGGAGCTCAGGGCCCCGGGGCAGGGCTATGGAGTCCCTGACAGGTGACAGTGACCCCTCACTGCTAAGCAGCTGCCCTGAAGAGGACTAGTTGTCACTGGGACTGGCCAGGAATTTCAATATCTCTAATTATGATGAAGGTGCCGGTTCACCTTTTGAGGGATTTTTATCTGCCTCCTAACCATACATGTAACAATATGATTGTACAATCTCTATGCAGTCGCACCAAAAATAAAGACGACCTCACCCAATATTATACAGTCATTCTCGCCCCTGTATTACAGATCTAAAAAAAAAATGGTACAATCAGATTGCATTACACTCTCTAAAGCTGGCCATACACTATACAATCTGACTGTACAATCTGCTTTTGAGTTCCCAGAACTACATTATATAAAACATCCTAAATAACCAGTTTAATTAGAATCCAATCAGACAGACTATGCACTACAGAGCTTATATCTAAAAGAGATTGTACAATCAGATTGAAAGGTGTATGGTCAGCCTGAGGGTCAGAGGTCACTGGAAGCTTGAACTTTCTGCACTGCCAGCTGCTTGGCATCAAGCCAATAGCACCTTCCGTCTCCTGAGTGTGCATAACGGCACAGGTAGCTACAGATGGCATGCACAACATAACTGCTCAAACTTGCATGCCGGAGCAGAGCGAACCTGAAACTATAGAAGAGGGAGGGGTAGAGCTGCTGTCACCTGTCTACCATAGAGAACAACAATGACGTCAGGTCTGGAAAATCCATCCAACGCTCCTCCAGGTATCAGTGAAAGACTATGATCATAGGAAAGGCTGGAACAGGGGAATGCTCTGTAGTCTGTAGATACCGTAATGGGTATTCAGGAGCTGGGAGTCAGTGAGAGTTACCAAATCTAAGCGCAGGCAACTGTCAGACCTCCGGGGGCGCCGAGAGAACAAGAAGAAGAAGGCATCAACCATTCACAGAAGGCCCCGCGTCTGTATAGAGAGCTATGGAAGATCCGGGGTGTGAAGGGTTAACCAGGACGAGCGCAAGGTCAGTTCATTACACCAACCTGACCCCATAGTAATGTCTGGGTGACCACCACAAACCATTGCGGGGGCCCCACTGCGGCCCCGGGAGACTTAACTATTTGTGCAGCATACTGTAATGTATGGGCCACATCTCTCACCCTAAATGCCGGGTGTCATTCTCAGTATCTGTGATTATTCTGTATGGATGGACTCTGCACAGTACCACTTCTCTGGTCCTGTATGCTGGGTGTCATTCTCGGTATCTGTCATTGTTCTGTATGTATGGAGTCTGCACAGTACCACTTCTCTGGTCCTGTATGCCGGGTGTCATTCTCGGTATCTGTTCCTATTCCGTATGGATGGACTCTGCACAGTACCACTTCTCTGGTCCTGTATGCCGGGTTTAATTCTCGGTATCTGTCATTATTCTGTATGTATGGACTCTGCACAGTATCACTTCTCTGGTCCTGTATGCCGGGTGTCATTCTTGGTATCTGTCATTCTGTATGTATGGACTCTGCACAGTACCACTTCTCTGGTCCTGTATGCCGGGTGTAATTCTCAGTATCTGTCATTGTTCTGTATGTAAGGACTCCGCACAGTACCACTTCTCTGGTCCTGTATGCCGGGTGTAATTCTCAGTATCTGTCATTGTTCTGTATGTAAGGACTCCGCACAGTACCACTTCTCTGGTCCAGTATGCCGGGGGTGTCATTCTCGGTATCTGTTCCTATTCTGTATGTAAGGACTCTGCACAGTACCACTTCTCTGATCCAGCAGTGCCGAGGGGGTAATTCTCAGTATCTGTCATTGTTTCTGTATGTCCGCACAGTACCACTTCTCTGGTCCTGTATGCCGGGTGTAATTCTCAGTATCTGTCATTGTTCTGTATGTAAGGACTCTACACAGTACCACTTCTCTGGTCCTGTATGCCGGGTGTCATTCTCGGTATCTGTGCTTATTCTGTATGTATGGACTCTACACAGTACCACTTCTCTGGTCCTGTATGCTGGGTGTAATTCTCGGTATCTGTCATTATTCTGTATGTAAGGGCTCTGCACAGCACCACTTCTCTGGTCCTGTATGCCGGGTGCAATTCTCAATATCTATTCTTATTCTGTATGTAAGGACTCTGCACAGTACCACTTCTCTGGTCCTGTATGCCGGGTGTAATTCTCAGTATCTGTCATTGTTCTGTATGTAAGGACTCTGCACATTACCACTTCTCTGGTCCTGTATGCCGGGTGTCATTCTCGGTATCTGTTCCTATTCTGTATGTATGGACTCTGCACAGTACCACTTCTCTTGTGCTCTATACCAGGACTGCTGCTCGTTGTTCAGGAACAGGCCCAGGCTGCATTGTCACATTTGTGGCCCCACACTGCAGAAAGGGGTTAAGCGCATTGTGTGGAGGGCGCAGAGGGCACTGTGCACTTGGCACGCACCACCAGAGTCGCAGCTGTTTGCTCTGGCTGGCAGCCGGCTCCTCATCCTGCCAATCACACGCCCGGCCCTGCCAGCCCCATTCTGCGCTACTCTGCCCACCGGGGAAGACGACGTGCTGCGGGAGAGGATGAACATTGACAGGCTTGGCTGGTGGCAGGCAGCGGGTGTCAGAGGGGGGCGCTGCGGGCAGCCCAGCTGGTTGAGCTTCGTGTAAGCAGAGACATCCGCTGAGCCGGCCTGGGTCTCCAAGGAGCAGCAGATCAGACAGAAAATGATTGGTCAGGAGATCACGGTGTAATCAGGATGCCTGGAAGAGACAGCACAGCTCTTAACGCGTCCCAGGAGAGAACGCCGCTGCTGGTGTGAGATGTTTCCTTCCGTAAGATCAGAGGAGGCTTCACATAATCCTGTACTGATCCCGGCCTTCCTCCTCCAGCCTGCGCTCATCTCCTCCTGCCTGTGCACTGAGGCCAAGCTCACATAGGTGGTGCATTCTACAGCATTCTGTAACCCGCAGCAATGCGCCTACAGCATTAATATGCATTCCAGACTCCATTCACCCTGAAAATGTCAGCCCACCACGCTGCAACTACGTGCCGTGTACACTGGTCATCTGTGGCGTGGCCCTTTTCGCTTGAATGGGTTGTGTTCAGTGGCGGTGCACGCCAAACATGACAAGGGGCTTTATTTCTGCCACGACTGCAAATCAAGTCATCATGGCCATGGCATGTGTACAGCCCTGAGTGGCTGCATGTCCTCAGGGTGGGAGGTAAAACCACAGCTCAACTGTCTGCTTTTCCTGCCCCCTGGCCATTGTTATCATCTTGGATGTGATGTCAGCAGCCCTAGCAGACTCACAGATGTCATTTAAGTGACTCTATAGCAGTGGGCTCGAAACTGTGGGCCACATGTGGTCTTTTTCTTTCTACTGCCCCTTTGGGCAGTATTCCTCCTACTTACACCAACAATGGGGGCATAATTCTTGCCACTGACACCAACAATGGGGCACTATTCCTTCCACTGACTCCACCAACAGAAGCATAATTCTTGCCACTGACACCAACAATGGGGCACTATTCCTCCCACTGACTCCACCAACAGAAGAATAATTCCTGCCACTGACACCAACAATGGAGCACTATTCCTCCCACTGACTCCACCAACAGAAGTATAATTCCTGACACTGACACCAACAATGGGGCACTATTCCTCCCACTGACTCCATCAACAAAAGCATAATTCCTGCCACTGACACCAACAATGAGGCACTATTCCTCCCACTGACTCCACCAACAGAAGTATAATTCCTGACACTGACACCAACAATGGGGCACTATTCCTCCCACTGACTCCATCAACAAAAGCATAATTCCTGCCACTGACACCAACAATGAGGCACTATTCCTCCTACTGACTTCACCAAAAGAAGCATAATTCCTGCCACTGACCAATAATGGGGCACCTTCCCTCCCAACAATGGAGATATAATTATTGCCACTGACACCAACAATGGAGGTATAATTCTTGCTGTATGGATATTTTGATTCAATATCCCTACACTTGCCACTGACACCAACAATGGAGCAAAATTCCTCCAACTGACACCACCAACAGAAGCATAATTCCTGCCACTGACAACAACAATGGGGCACCTTCCCTCCCAACAAAGGAGGTATAATTATTGCCACTGACACCAACAATGGAGCACTGAAGCATAATTCCTCCCACTAACACCAACAATAGGGCACTATTTCTCCTACTGACACCAATCATAGGGCACCTTTCCTCCCACTTACAACAACAATGGGGCACTATTCCTCCCACTGACCCCAATGATGGGGAACTATTCCTTCCACTGAAGATGTGAAATTGTGGAGATGTGGAATTGTTTGCTTCCTTTGACACCAGGACATTTTCAGCACCCACTAGTCATAGCCCACCCCCCCTACAGTCTGAAGGACAGTAAACTGGCCCTTTGTTTAGAAGGTTTGGGGATCCCTGCTCTATAGTATTCTTCGCTCTTCCCGAGAAGCTTCTTCAAAGGTTATGTAGGGAGGAGAGGGGAGGGATGGAAGAGCTGGACCAGCACGGACATTAGACACTGCTAGAAGAGGAGAGGGCTATGATATGTAAGGAGGGAGGGGGCTGTTCAAAGGCATACTGGAAGGCAATAAAATAGAAAAACGCTGCAAGTAGGCATTTCAAATGCTGGACTTTTCTACACTATTACCTTCCAGCTGACAAGGACACTTTAAGACATTGCCGCCAGATGGAGGATTTATTTGGGGCCAATCAGCCTGATAAAAAAATGAGGAGCAGTTACAAACTGCTGAGAATGTGGGGGAGGGTGACAACACTTTTTGGAGTCTGCAGCTCTGCAATCTGTGTATGCTCCACCTCCTGCCTGTTTTTCAATATGTACCTTCCACCCATCAGTAACTGGATTTATTATCATTTTACACTCAAGTATAGTCATTAGTTCTCTTTAAACATTTCCCGTTTATGGGAGCTTCAAGAAGGTGTCTGTCACACATCATACCTGTGTGAATAGCCTCTGATGGAAGTTGCCATTGAAGGCTACACCATCGTGCCCAGCGATGACACCACACCCCTCCAGTTGGAACGTATATGTGGCCAGGGAGTCTCAGGAGGGAAGCGTCTACCTGATGGTTTTCAAACAGGCATTTTTCTTTATGATGGTTCCTCTCTCGAAGAGCGGCAGCCACGTAAAACAGGTTGATGAGACCCGGCCGCCATGTTTCCCGGCACACAAGCCCCAGAGATGGAAGTTAATTAGATTAATTCTATTCGGCCAACGGTCCCTGCCTATCTTTGCCAAAACACTGTCATGTGCGTGTAATTCGGCTCCCTTTCGCCTCCGGTAATCTTCCGACTTTACTGCAAATTATTAAAATTCACTTCTATTTAATCTGCCTTCTGGAATTAATTGAATTTTTATGCTCTGCAAATGTCAGAGTTAGCAGCGCTGGATAGCCGGGATCCCTGACGGGTGAGCAACATTGTGCTGGTGCAGAGTCGGCAGGATCCCTGTTCGGTGTCAGAGTACAGCGGGAGCTAATTAATCCGAGACAGAGCCAGAGGGGGAGATGGGAGCTTGTCAAGGCTTGATCCTAAATCACCGAGATACCTGTGCCAATAATTAGCAGTGGCTGTCTCGTGGACGGGTCTACGTTTAATGCTGCAGCCATCCTGGTGGGCCAGGTACCAGGGTGGTCTGGTGAAGGGCAGGGCGTAAATTCAGTGCTCGTTACATATTGCTAGAGCCTTGCTGGCAGTGTCCCCCCCCCGAGAATCCCACTAAAATTTACAGAGCCTCGCAGTGTGGGGTCTTTGCTGATCCCCTTCTGGCTTTGGGGTTCTAACCCTTTCATGACCACTCTTCATTAAAGCCAGTATGTGTAGACCAAATTATGCGTCCATATCCATAGGTTTATTTGGTATACCGTTTTAACCACTAGCCAATGTCATGTGACCACAGTCCCACCAGGTCTTGATCATAAATGGTGATCAGGAGATGTTGGTGACAGCTCAGTCAGTGTGCTCCCAGCACTCAACGCGGAGCCCCATAAAATATTGTAGACAATTGTGCTCCTCCAGTCTTGTGGTAACAGTTTGGTGAAGATCCTTTTCTGTTCCAGCATGACTACCCCAGTGTACAAAGCCAGCTCCATGAGGATATGGTGTGACCAGTTTGGGGTGGGAGAACTCCAGTGCCCTGACCTCAACCCTACTGAACACCTCTGGGATGAATTGGAACACCCATTCTAAGCCAGGTCTTCTCATCCATCATCAGTATCTGACCTCACACATGGGCACAATTCCTAAAAAAACACACTCCAAGATCCTGTGGAAAGCCTTCCCAGTTGAGTGGAGGATGTTACAGTCACAAAGCGGGCAACGCCATATTAATGGCCATGGGGGGAAGGGCAACTCTATATTAATGACCATGGTTTTGGAATGGGATGTCCAACAATCCCATTTTAGTGTGATGGTCAGGGGTCCACCAACCTTTTGTACAGTGCTTTACCTAGTATTCCCTTTTACTAGTGCCCCCAGACCCCATCAGAAGGAAGGATGGAAGCCACCATTCTTCAACCTCCATGTTTTCTTAAACCAGTAGGAGCTTCAGATATTCTTGAAGTCCAAAAGTATTTTTTGAAATCTGCAAATTCCACCAGGAAAAGACAAAAGGCGCACTGATCATCCTCCTGGTTTAGATTGATATAACCAGGAGCTTTAGGCCTCATGCGTGCAGCACAATAGGCTCTGTCAACGCCTTTCTCCTGACAGGAAAAAAGCAGTGTTAAAAACATGGGTAATTCCGTGCTTTTCAAACACGTTTAAGTGCGTTCAGGCATGTCAAGCCTTTGAGTGTTCATTCATTTAAAGTGTTACTAAACCCACAACAGTAAAATCAGTCTGTATATGCAGTAAAGCATGCTTGTTATACCCACTGTGGAACCTAAGGGGATAATCCTCTGGATTGTGTGAAAAGTCTGTTTGATCCTGACTTCTCTGATCCTCCCCTTCTTCCAGTGTCCCCCTCTTATCTCCTGATATGACATAATGTGTGGAGTCACTCTGCACATGCTCAGTTTGGTGTGTATTGCTCGAGAGGTTTTTTTTGGGGGGGGGGGAGTGCATGTGATCAGTACAGGGCCAATCAGCACTGTGCAGAAATAGGTCAAGCATCCTCCTTGAGAAAAATGAAAACTCCTTCTACAAGCTTTAACATGTGCTCTGCTGGATACTGATAGAAGTCACAAGACTGCTATATACTGCTGATGAGAAAAGGTATTTAGCAGTTTATATCTACTAAAATAATTGCACTTCCATGTTGTGTGTACTGTGGGAGACCAGATATAGTGAATGCAGGGTCTGCGGAGAGCGGATATAGTGAATACAGGGTCCGGGGAGACCAGATATAGTGAATGCAGGATCCGGGGAGACCAGATATAGTGAATGCAGGGTGAATGCGGGGAGACCAGATATAGTGAACGCAGGGTCCTGGGAGACCAGATATAGTGAACGCAGGGTCCTGGGAGACCAGATATAGTGAAAGCAGGGTCTGGGGAGACCAGATATAGTGAATGCAGGGTCCGGGGAGACCAGATATAGTAACTGCGGGGTCCGAGGAGACCAGATATAGTGAATGCAGGGTCCGGGGAGACCGGATATAGTGAATGCAGGGTCCGGGGAGACCAGATATAGTGAATGCAGGATCCGGGGAGACCAGATATAGTGAATGCAGGGTCCGGGGAGACCAGATATAGTGAATGCAGGGTCCGGGGAGACCAGATATAGTAACTGCGGGGTCCGAGGAGACCAGATATAGTGAATGCAGGGTCCGGGGAGACCGGATATAGTGAATGCAGGGTCTGGGGAGACCGAATATAGTGAATGCAGGGTCTGGGGAGACCAGATATAGTGAATGCAGGGTCCGGGGACACCGGATATAGTGAATGCAGGGTCCGAGGAGACCAGATATAGTGAATGCAGGGTCCGGGGAGACCAGATATAGTGAATGCAGTGTCTGGGGAGACTAGATATGGTGAATGCAGGGTCCGGGGAGACTAGATATGGTGAATGCAGGGTCTGGGGAGACCAGGTATAGTGAATGCAGGGTCCGGGGAGACTAGATATAGTGAATGCAGGGTCCGGGGAGACCAGATATAGTGAATGCAGGGTCTGGGGAGATCAGATATAGTGAATGCAGGGACCGGGGAGACCAGATATAGTGAATGCAGGGCCCGGGGAGACCAGATATAGTGAATGCAGGGTCCAGGGAGAGCGGATATAGTGAATGTGGGGTCCGGGGAGACCAGATATGCTGAATGCAGGGTCCGGGGAGACCAGATATAGTGAATGCAGGGTTCGGGGAGACCAGATATGCTGAATGCATGGGTCCTGGGTTTACTAACACTTTAATTGTCCAGAATATAAATTTTTTCTGCCATTGAAATGAATGCTCGAGTACTAAACACCCCTAGCATTTAGGTGCATGTAGGCACATCAGACATATTTTCTGCCCAAATTCTCCCCTATTGAATGTGATTTTAGTGCATTCAGATTTCTTAGAGGAAGGAAAAAAACCTGTCAAAAGTCTGTAAAGTGGGCGCTTGACAGCTGCAGTGTGCATGAGGCCTACACTTTGAATGCCAAAGCCCTGATGAAGAGGGTTTTTTGGGCCCCTGAAAAGTGTTGGACGCCGTCAGTGTTTTGCTGTTGTCTTTTGCTGTTTTAATGAAATACTTTTGGACCCCAAGAATGTCTGTTTGGTGCTCCTTCTGGTTCAAATACACACAGACTTCTCAATTTTGGTGACCCCTATCCCTGGGGGACCCCTGTTTTGTGGAACTGATGAACTCACACCCATCCGGCTTTATTAAGGACCTCTTATCCTTTTAAATGTGGATACATATCCAGCTCCTCACTTCCTGAAGGGTTCCTAAAGGTCCAGGCTTCCCTCTAGAACTGGGCAATGTTCTCACTGACGGCAAAGCCAAGGAGGTTTCATGTCACGGCTCTGGAAGTGTGGCGAGGTCGCTTCCACTGAGGCTTCTCACACAGGTTTTCATTTTAGCCAGCAGCGGTTTGGCAATAAAGAAAAAAAAAAAAACAGTTTCTGGTTGCAGCTGAGAGGTAGAGATTTTCCCAGGGCGGTGGGGGGGATTGTGGCTCCTGTAATGATTCCCACACATCAGCCGCCAGGAGTGTGACTGCAGCTACTCAGCGCAGATTCCATGGAGCTGCAGACTGAACTGACATTATCCTCCCCGCTGTAAATCACGCCTCAGGCGCCAGCCACTTCATGGCTCCCTCCTGGAAAATTAACCTCTTCCGCCTCTCTTGCTGCCACCCAGAGGGGCCTGCCACGGAGGGACTACAACTCCCAGCATGTCCAACAGCAGCAGGCTTTCTGCCTGGCCTGTATTGTACTCAGCGGGATTTGTTACCAATGTTATTAATATGAAGGAGATCTGAAGGTCCGCCGCTATTTCTTCCCAGAAAAGGTGGCAACAACAGCCAAGCACTACTGGAAATGATTTGAGAAAACTGGCAGCGATGCTGGGAGAGGGGCCTCCAGCTGAAAACAGCTCACATATTTAACCCTTTTCAGAGGGGGGTTATGCTTCTCCCTGGTAGTACCCAGTAAGTGAATCGGTCCTGTTACTTTGTATCCCTCAGATGATACTGGATTCAAAAATGAGGCGTGCCTTTAAAGCAGGTTTTACCCCGAACCCAAAAATGTAATATTCATTTATTTATTTCAGGTACTTATATATCGCTGTCAATTTACACAGCACTTTACATATATATTGTACATTCACATCAGTCCCTAACCCTCAAGGGGTGTACAATCTAAGGTCCCTAACTCACATTCATACATACACATACTAGGGACAATTTAGACAGGAGCCAATTAACCTACCAGCATGTCTTTGGAGTGTGGGAGGAAACCGGAGTACCCGGAGGAAACCCACGCAGGCACAGGGAGAACATGCAAACTCCATGCAGGAGGTGCCATGGTTGGGAATTGAACCCACGACCCATTTACTGCAAGGCAGACATGCTAACCACTAAGCCACTGTGCCGCCCTGCAGCTTACCAATCATTACATGTGGCAGCTGTATATAGTTTGCTTTTTTTAGTTTTTTTTTCCCCCTCTGTTGTCACCTGGTGATCTGGCCAGTAACACACCTCCTGTATCAGAGTGCACCCCACTCTGGATGAAGGAGCACAGGGGGAACCTTTGGACAGTCATTCTGAGAGAAGGGGGAGTGTTAGCTGTACTAGCAGATTTAAATACACTAACAAACTGAAGCCAAACTCCAGCTCACACTGCAGTTACACAAGCAGTCACAGTTTTTTTTTTAATTCTTTTAGGATAAAGGTTTTACATTATTAAAATAAAAGCTGATCATTGGAAGACCCATGTCAGTGGGTTTGTCTCAACACTCTAAACTGCTACATTTGTAGGAGAACTTGTTCTATTGTAAACAACAGACTTACTGGCTGGATCGTCAGATGGAAATGAAGGAAGGAAAGCCTGAAGAAGAAAACTAATGCAGCCACCACATAAAAGAATTGGTAAGCTGCAATATAATAAATGTTTTCTTTTGGGTTTAATGCTGCTTCAAGTCCACCTTTCCACATAATGCAGAGAATTTTTTTATTTAATCTCTTAGATTGTAAACTCCAAGGAGCAGGGACCTCCTAACCCTCTTGTATTGAACTGTATTGTTGCTGTATTGTCTCCCTTTATTTTGTAAAGCGCTGAGCAAACTGTTGGCGCTATATAAATCCTGTATAATAATAATAATAATAATATATAAATCCTGTATAATAATAATAATATTAATAATAATAATAATATATAAATCCTGTATAATAATAATAATAATAATAATATATAAATCCTGTATAATAATAATAATAATATTATATAATAATAATAATAATATATAAATCCTGTATAATAATAATAATAAGATATAAATCCTGTATAATAATAATAATAATAATATATAAATCCTGTATTATAATAATAATAATATATATATTCTGTATAATAATAATAATAATTAATAATAATATATAAATCCTGTATTATAATAATATATATATTCTGTATAATAATAATATATAAATCCTGTATAATAATAATAATAATAATAATATATAAATCCTGTATAATAATAATATATAAATCCTGTATAATAATAATAATATATAAATCCTGTATAATAATAATATATAAATCCTGTATATTAATAATAATATATAAATCCTGAATAATAATAATATTTTCTGAAAATACATGACAAAGACTGAAAAATGTTTGGTTAAAAGTCAGGTGGGAACGTGATCAAGGCCTACCTATTGGACCTTCTGGACAAGGAAAGCAAGGTGGCTCCCAGGACGGCAGCATGGCGCTCTGTGGATTTCACTGATTTTGGTTCTTCCTATCTGAGATGCTGGTTATCAGCGGTTTTCCCGCAAACCAGAATTAACAGCTGGCCTATGCCAAGCTTCCCACAATGCACCAACGTTCAGACTACAATGATTCCCCAAATCTGAGCTTGCGGGCCCCCTCCCCGATCTGCACACAAGACCGCCAGACGAGGAGAAGCGCACAGAAAAGAAAAGAGCCATCTCTGCAATTAAGGCCCTTTCTGCAGTACGGCGATAATTAGCTAATTATACGATTAATGACAGGAGAACCTGCTCAGGAAAAAAAAAAAGCGGCTAAGAAAAATAGGAGGGGAGAGGAAAGTCGCTTTTCCACATCTCAGTGCCAGCTGCTTCTCACAGATGTCACTGTTCTTTTATGTACAAGGGGAGCTGCGCCTTTTATGTCATCCTTCATATCTGGATCAGAACCATAGGACGCATGTGACACCATGTGACCTTTAGCTGGCACTGATGAGCTCTAGTGATCACACACAAGCTTGTAGGGGCAGCTCATAAACCAAGTGTGGGGGGGGGGGCCCTGAAATACTCATAATCTCTGTTGTGACTCTGCAAGCAGCAGCTAATAGGCACCAAGGACCAAAGAGTTCAGAGTGTCCAGCATTGCCTTCAGGTTACTAATCCTTAGCCTTGAACAAGCCTTGTAAATTTCACACAGCTCAGTGCTTCACAGCTGTGTCCTGTGCTTTTCAGCAATATCTGTCTATCCTGCAGCAGAGAGTTTAAATGTGCCAATGTGAAAATCATAGAATGTTATCGTGGGAGCACAGTGGGGGTGATCCACATTCTACCTGAAATTTGTAGGTAAAAAACACTGGTGTTGAGAGACTACAGACGTGTTACGGGACACTGTCAGGGACAATAGACATACTATATGAGATGGTCAGGGACTGCAGACATACTACATGAGATGGTCAGGGACTGCAGACATACTACAGGACATGGTCAGAGACTGCAGACATGCTACATGAGATGGTCAGACACTGCAGACATACTACAGGAGACGGTCAGACACTGCAGACATACTACAGGAGACGGTCAGAGACTGCAGACATACTACAGGACATGGTCAGAGACTGCAGACATACTACATGAGATGGTCAGGGACTGCAGACATACTACAGGAGATGGTCAGAGACTCCAGACATACTACATGAGATGGTCAGGGACTGCAGACATACCACAGGACATGGTCAGAGACTGCAGACATACTACATGAGATGGTCAGGGACTGCAGACATACTACATGAGATGGTCAGAGACTGCAGACATACATACTACATGAGATGGTCAGAGACTGCAGACATACTACATGAGATGGTCAGGGACTGCAGACATACTACAGGAGACGGTCAGAGACTGCAGACATACTACATGAGATGTTTAGAGACTGCAGGCACACTACAGGAGACAGTCAGAGACTGCAGACATATTACATGAGATGGTCAGAGGCTGCAGATATATTACAAGAGATGGTCAGAGGCTGCAGATATATTACAAGAGATGGTCGGAGACTGCAGGCACACTACAGGAGATGGTCAGAGACTGCAGACATACTACAGGAGATGGTCAGAGACTGCAGACATGGGACTGTATTACTAGATGCCGGGGCCCAAGGACCAACCCCCTGCTAGCCAGACCTGTTTATTACTGATCTGTAGTTGGACATAAACCAATTATCCCATGCGATGCTCTGAGATGTCTTTGTGTAAAGTGCAACCACCCAAAATTTGGACAGGAGAAGCACTTGATGCTATATGAGCGGCAGAATTGTTGTTTTATGTTGGGGAAAGGGTTAACATCCTTCCATCTCCAGATAAAAGCCGCAGATCCAACCAGAAACATCCAATCTCGGGTCTAATTCCGCTTTATATGGCTC